TGGATCAAAGCATGCTCTCAAATTATTTGAGCGGCTTGTTTGTGTTTGAACTTTGAAAATTTTCCATGAATTCTCCAGGTCATTTGGCTAAGCTCAAGTGTTCGCTATGTTATATCAGTGATTAATATATTTGGGTAGTAATTTGAGGTGTTCTAACTTTGTCTTTTTTACTGGTAGACCTTTTGAAATTAAATATCAGTTATTCAATTGAAATGAATTGACAGTTGAGATCTATTTTCTCCTAATCTAAGGGCAATAAGAATTCAGGATATTGTGACTTGTTTTTTAAACTAACTCATATTTGGCGTGCTGTTCAAAAAGCAGTCAATGTCCTGAAGCATGCTAATCCAGTCCAGTTCCGTTGCACGTCATAATTGCTATCGCATCCAAATACTCTGGCCTTATTGTACTGATATTTTATAATAGCTTGAATGGTGTGATAAAGATTGATCTATAATGAAAACGTCCAACTTGTATTATAGCCAAGCAGCCTCAATGATGTGAATAGGTAAAAAAAAATAGTATGAGAATGTTGGTCTTATTACTAGACAGGGGTCTTATATCAGGGATTATATGCCAATAATTTATCTTTTCTGTAGAAAATATATCTTGGAAAACTAATGCGGACAAGGGGGAATACAGCATTTCTTAAACAACTGACAAAAAAAAAGATGGCTTGTCTGACACTTTCTTCACAGGATTGCACATGGAGGCTTATTCATAGACGGGATTTATGTTCATTCAGTTTTCTCTCTATCTGATATATATGTTCCCAGTTATTAGAATGTAAATAATTCATCAGGTCCAAATTAGTTGAATTTTGCTTCCAATTTTGTTATAGCTTCCCTCAGTGTATTCATAGGTTATTTTTCTTCCACACCAAAGGTACAAATCCCATATATTTTCTTTTACCATTCTTGCTCTTTTCTACACATGCGTTAAGATTTGTTTACCATCCAAATTCAACACTTTTGTCTTTTGATAAGGTGGAGGGAAGGACTGTGAAAGCTCAAATATGGGACACAGCTGGGCAGGAGCGATATCGAGCAATAACCAGTGCCTATTATAGGGGTGCACTTGGAGCTCTTCTTGTGTATGATGTTACAAAACCAACAACATTTGAAAACGTAAGTCGATGGCTGAAAGAACTACGGGACCATGCAGACTCCAACATTGTGATTATGCTGATTGGAAACAAAACTGATCTGAAGCATCTCCGAGCAGTTGCCACAGAAGATGCTCAAAGTTATGCAGAGAAAGAGGGTCTTTCTTTCATCGAAACATCTGCTCTGGAAGCAACAAATGTCGAGAAGGCTTTCCAGGTAATTCTCTCCGAGATATACCGGATAATTAGTAAGAAGTCAGTGTCTAATGAGCAGCCCACCCCTGCCAACATCAAAGAGGGGAAGACCATAGATGTAGGAGCATCAGAAGCCAACACTAGAAAGCCATGCTGCTCTTCATCCTAAAGTTAGTATGTAGCAATATCAATTTCTCATATATTTTGTTTTTTCCTGCAATTTTATTATGTCCATTAATTCTGTTCCTCTGTCCTCTTGAGGGTTTATTTTATTTCGACTCCCATATTTTCACATGTTATTATGAGTGTTTGAATTATGATGGTGGTTTGAGAGGTCTGAATGATTTTCTTGTGGGTGCTGCAACTTTTTGAGTATACTACTGTTTGGATGGTGATCTTAAAAGGTAAATTTTTGGAGGTAAAGTTTGTATTTTGTTGTCAGCTCCTCAAAATGGCCGGAAGATTATAATAGTAGATCATATTTTTAGGCCAGGTGAATTGTTAAAACCAATAGTGAGTTTTAGTTGAATTTGATTTAATGCTCATATTTTAATTACAAATATGTAATCTGGAAGATCATAATAGATCGTGCTCTAAAATTAAAAGCATCGCTAATTAACTCAATGGTAAATATATGTCTTTCTTTATGAAAAATTATGGAAATTTAAGTTAGAATATATTACTGTATGTTTTCATTTGAAGGTTGTCTTTTGTTGTATTATAATTGATGTGTATATAACATTTAATTAATAAAAATTATTTATAAAAATTAAAATAACCAGTTAGATTATACAAAATTTATTTAATCACATGATAAATCAATGGCTCTATTATAACTGAAATAGAAAAAATTAATTGCGTTTTCAATTAACAAAAAAATTTTAAATTAATTTTTATAAATGGAAAAGTTGATAAAATAATTATTAGACATGAACAAAAATTTCGTAATTTTTGATAAATTTTTTAATAAACATCAGAAAAACAAGATAAACTTTGTTACCTAACCTATAAACAGAAAGTTAATTTTCTAATTTTTTTTTATTTGACTTATAAATTATCATAATTACACAAGTAAAATACATAAGAAAAAAGTAAAAATGCCTAAAGCAAACCATAAAGTTTCTTGTTTTTAAGTGCGTTAAACTTGTAAGCTCATTAAATTCATAAAATTTTAAAAAATATAATATAATACATGGACTCGAAAATTAGCTTGTAATAATCTTTTTTATTTATAAAGGTTATATAAATAATTTATTTTATTTTATTTTATTTAAATTATTGAAAAAAATAAAATAAGAACAAAATTGAAAATAATTTAAAAAAAAAGATTGAAAATTTAAACAAATAAAGTGTTTTTAGAAGAAAATTTGAAAACAAGTAAAATCGTAAAAAAAAAAAAATCGGCAACGTGGGACAGCCCAGTCAGCAACCACAGCGAATTAGAGTACGCCACATAGCAAAACACGCTGAAATCAGCGTCACACGGGCAATACATGTGCCTAGCGATCCAATGACCTTGATTATGTCTTGCGTGCACGGACAACTCATGTAATACTCGGAATTAATTTTAAAATTTTAAAATTAATGTATAAAATATAATTTTTAAATTTATGAATTTTTATTTAATATAAAAATTAGGAAAAAATAGGTAGAAGATGAAATTAAAAATAATTTTAGGAAAAAGTAATGAAAATTTAGGTTTTGGGAGATGTTTTTGAAAGAAAAATTAGAAACTGGGAGTCAAAACGCAATTTAAGAAAAATGTGCCACGTAGGACCACCTAGTCAACAGCCCCGACGAACCGGAGCTTTCCATGCTGACGTGGTGCCATGCGAAAGGCCACACTAGCAATTTGCATGCTCACAATCGGACAGTTCGAATTTGTTCCCGCGCGTGTGAACGGTCCGGATCCATTCCCTCCTTATGTGTGATTGGACGATCGTGATTAAACACGATGAACGGTCCAGATCAAATTGCAATGAATGATCTATACTCATTTCTTCTTTGAATGCGATCAGACGGTTGAAATTAAATGCGATAGACGACTCAGATTAAAGGGAGAAAAATATAAATACCTCACTTCACATCAAATCTTAACCTTAAACGATAGTCCCCCGTTGGAGAAAAAGAACTAGTCGCCGGAAAAGGGAGCCGACTGTCGCCTGCCGCTGCGTGGGAGCCACCTTTGACTGCCAAAAAAGGTAAAAATTTTGTCATTAGCATGAAATTTGATTTGGAACACCTTCATGACCAAATTGGAGCAAAAGGACCGGCGGATGAGCTAAAAACAATAGGTAAAGCTCGGTGGCACCCCTGCAGGAAAAACAAAAAATCGCCTCCAATGAGCACTTTCCCCATTCTCGTTTCGTACAATTTTTTCATCATTGTAATCACCATTCTCTTTCCTACAGGTTGACCAAAGAAAAACGCCCAACTGAGAAGG